GTCACTTTTTCAGTGTCACTTTTTCTATTAAAAAAGTGACAATTAATTTTACACAGTATTTTTTACTTCCAAATATGTTTCATATGATTTATCAAAAGACCCTTAATTTTAAGGGTATTTTTGTAAGTTGCCCTTATTTAAATGTCTCAAACCCAACAATTTAATTTTTTATTAGATCACTTTAATTGGGCTCAACTTTAAAATAATCTTATACACAATTAATTACATATGTATGTCCACATGATAAATTAATAAACCCAACACTGCACTGTAGAAAAATTTAATCATAGCATTATTTTGTGGAGAGATTGTTCGGGAGTAAAATTTAAGAGTTTCGAAAATTGCTCATTATTGTTGAGTAAGTGATTTGATCGTCGTCTCCGGTGATTATACAAAGATATTGCAACAGTTAGCGGCAGATAATTTCACTCTAAACTATCACAAGTTTCAATCGTTCAATAAATATTCTAGCTTATTGTATTTTTTTACAACATATTGGCATGAGGGGGAAAAATATGCAAGCAAGGATTTATCATTTGCTGCCAAAAGGCAAAGCTGTGGGTTGAAAACGATCTTGGTGCACTTACAAGTACAGTTGTAAAGGAAATCAAAACGAGGATTTGTGGACCATAAATTTAACTTTATCTTGTATTCTGAATCTATAAACAATTCTTTTACTCATTTCAAATTTGGGTCAAGAAAAAGAGATTGATATGTGTCTATGATTCATGGCTAAACTGTGAAGTCCACTAAGTGAAAAAAACTTTTTGTAATTATTCATAACAGTAAAAGAGACTGATCTTCAACTATTCTCTAACCCTTTATTTGTTGTCAAAGAAGAAAAAATTGAAAAAGGCAAATCGCTCTCAACCTACTTGACCTCTAATTTGTTCGACGTGTCAAAATGATATCAATTTGAATAGGTCTCAATTTATTACTTGTTACTACCCAGTGGAGAAGGATATCAAGAAGAGAAACAAATTGAAACCTGCAGCTGTGCTTTCGAAGGGCAGTGCTTTCTTCAATGGAAAAATTGAATCGCTTTTAATCTTTGTATTACGTATGGGGTACTTTGAAGGATATAGGGTTTATTCAGGTATACTCTATCTTTCACTAACAATAGGACAGATCCATGATCGAACTACAAGCCAGACTAATATGTAAAAAAAAAATTATTTTTTACACTAAAATGGTTAAATGGTCCAGAGACTGGATCGGTCACATCTCTGACTAACAGTATGAACCAGACTTTGCCATAGCAAGAATATGGTGATCGAATACTATGTTGTAAAAAAGAATTTAGATTAAATAATAATTTATGCAATAATTGGATTACGAGATCAAAATTATTTGTATGCTATACGAGGATGAAATAAATTAAAAAGTTGATAGTACATGAATCCTCGAAAAAGGCAGTTCAAATTGTGATCATTTTCAGGAGAAATAATAAAAGCAATTGGGCATTTTCTATACCTATATAGTACAATTATGAAAGTGAAATGTGCTATTATTTGCAGCCTTTACTATTCAGTTGCAGTTCCCCATTGCAAAAAGTAGCAAACTTAACAGGTTGGAAATTTCAATTATCCTAGAGATGATGTTGACCTAAGTGAATTTTTTGGACCATAATCTATGTTACATAAATCTCCTATTAAAGTAATGTTCTTCTCTTTAGTTTGAAGAGTATCGATCCCCCGTTCCCAATGAATAAGATAAAAACAATTTCATTACTGACTTGATAAAAGAATTTTAATTATGGTTCTCCGAAATAATACATTTAGAGAATCGTAACTTAAGGTTTATGTCACATCAATAGTGAAATTTTTTTCCCTGCATCAACAATGTTAAGTTTTTATCCTACACACTGCATGCAGGAGATCAATTCTATTCGTTTGAAGTACCCTATAAACTTCTTTATTCTAATACTCAATTACCATAAAGATTTTAGTTTTGAATAACAACCAGATTCCCGGTAATATGGAATAAATGATGAGTTTAAATTGCTCATCTCGCTCTGATAAAAGTTTTTAAAAATTTTTTCACTTTTTAAATTGGTCAAAGTACAAATTTCACGGGATCTAAAATTTTTATCAACATTTTAATCACATTTTATATATATATTTATCAAATCTACTAAACCTTTTATTTAAAATTTGCCACACATGCCTTAACGAGATTATCCTTTTAACATAGACCCACGTATCAAAAGTTGGATTAAAATATTTCCCAATAGGAACTTAATAAATTTAGAAGCTCAAAATGAACAATATCTTTAAGGTCAAAATTTGGTATTCGAAAATGTTTGAGATCCTTGACAATAAAATAGGTATATATGAAGGGTTTGCGCGTTATTCCAAGTGGTAATGGTGAAAAAGTACGTGAATGCATGACACAATTATCTAGATTCTTTGCATGGGGGGAGTACACAAGGAAGATTTACCCTAATGCTTGGATACATTTTACAAGAAAAATCATGATCTTATCATTGCTTTCCTGAAATGTACCCAACAAATAATTACTGTTTTTCTCGACTTTTAACGAGAAAAAGTAAGAGGGGATGTATTAATATTTGCATGGATGATGGAACCAAAGTATATTAGAAGAGACCGAGGTGGGAAAAAGCTAAAGCTTTTGCAGTTTTGATCTCTTCTGCTTGTAAAGAGAATCTGATACCCACATCTGTTTCAACTTTTGTTATCAATCCATGTTTGAATTCAGCATTGACATATATGTCTATGTTTCTTCAACGTGATTGAATGGTGAAAATCTCACAAAAACTTCAATTTGTTTATTTCGAATATCAATTCTCAAAACTCTTTATTTAATTCAACTGATTGCAAAATGATTACAAGTCGTATTTAAAGCAATAAATAAAATCTAGCTAATAACTAATCTTCATATAAAAACTAACTCTAGATAAGGATAAGAATAAAAGATAAAATCTAAATCTAAAAGGAATTAAATTCCTAATTTAATTACAATTAAGAAAATTATCTACAATAGCGAAAAATGCACTTTCGGAGCTTTAAACAATGGAATTGAGCCGAAACACATCCACGAGTTTTGCTTGCTAGGCCTTTTCCACTCAAAATAGACACAAACATCTCGAAAAACAAACACTTTGAAAATTAGTTGTTTCGATTCAATCGTACTTTTCAATGAACTTTTCTTCTTTTTATATTCCATCAAAATGTGACAAAACTAAAATACTTTTAACATCTGCAAGATGGTAGCTCGTTGAGAATATCAATGCTAAAATTTGGAGCTCATTGGACTCTGATACCACGTGAGTCTCTACTTCATCTTAAAAGTTATCATTATAAAATAAGAGTAGTCCAAATTATTATTTTCATATTTTATTGTTGTTGGATTTACCCTTAGTATTAGAGTTTAGATTGTAAAATATTTATTAGTTCGTCACCCCTTTGTTTCTAAATTTTACATTCTACTATAACATAAGCAATTAAGTTCGAAAACGTTCTTAGTTATGGATTTGGTTTTGATTTTACTAATCTAAAAAAATCCTAGTTTTTTGATTTTTTTACTTTTAACTTGCTTTGATGAAAAGGAGAACATAACATTATGAGCTTTTATATATGCGAAAGCACAAAAGGGAGGTTCTTTGACTGACAAAACGTAGGTCTTATAATTTACTTCAAAGGCTAAGAAGTTTTCTCTTTTCTCAGAGAAAAGCAAAAAATAAAAATCCGAACATTAAAGATTATTTCTTCTACACTTCCCAAAATTCGAACTAAGATTGCTACGACACTAAAGAAGAGTTCAACAGATGTTAAGATTGACGATGAGAAAATTAATAACATAACACAATTTTGTTTATTGACAACGAAATCAAGATTTTCCTCAAAATATTCATTTACATTGCTTGACCAATAGGAATGACTCTAAAGAAAAAAAAAATACATGAAGGGGAAAGAAAACATAATTGGAGTACAAATTCATGAAAGCTGCCAATTTTTTGGAAAAATTTTCTGGCCTGGCGCAAGGATGGCCTTTGGATCAAAACAAGCCTTTTTCTCTTGGAATCTTGTCCATTGATTTCCAAAGTGCTGCTTCCACCCTTCTTTGGAATTGTAGTGGGGAAGGTACAACTTGAAATCGAAGCCATTTGTATTGCAGCACCTAATAATTTCTTGATTTTGTGCTATCATTTCTTCGACCGATAAGCCCCTCGGGAATGGTAAATAAAACCTTAACAATGCTATGATATAAAAGACATCATCCTCTGCCTCTGGTAAAACGATCGACGTCCGAATATCCCACCTAATCACAAACAAACACATAGTTTAATATTATTATTATACAACAAAAGGTACCATCTTCCGAACATTGAAGTACAAAGATGTTTATGTACTACCGAAGGGGTAATTTTGTCTGACAAAAGATTCGGGGAGGCTGAGACCAAACAAATTAGTTGTCACCAGCCAGTGGGTTGGCCAGTTAATACCTTTGTCGTCACATAAATAGCAAAACTGACCCTAAAAGCTACGTCACTCGAAATCTCACTTTCTATAAAAAGAGTTTGTCAAAAGACTATATTGTCCATGCAGGTGCAGCACTAGTTAATCATCCTTACTTAAGACCACATCTAGACGAATGGAAGCAAGTCTAATATTGCTGCGGTAAAAAAATTAGGTCTTTGTAGTTCGATTGAAATTGTGAAATTAAGGAAAAACAAGAGGCTCCAATTGTGGTCCCTAAGGAAAGATAGCCTAACTCGAAAATCTTAACCACTAGATTTATGATGTTCAGCAAATCGGATCATGCAGTAAGGTGGTCCCACGGGCCCAATTTTAAATAACACGCCACAACCGGTGCAAGTGGTTCATGGAATAGCTTGTGGATCTCCCACTTGGCGCATCCACGCAAATGCTATTAACGCACAAATTCAATTGACTGACTAGGTCCGCATTAGGGGTTTGTACTTTAATCTTGACAAGTTGAAAATTATGTGTGGCCATTCTTATGTGGTAAATTTGAATCACGATTACAAATCACCATCGACTATGTGACTGAGCAACATGATTTTTGCTGCAAGTTTCAATTTATAATCAATTTGATTTGACATTAGGCACCATTGTTTTTTAAGTTTCAGTTGTGCTCGATCAGATTTTAAAAAAAAAAAGACTAAATTTTATTTAAGAAAAAGTCAAATATTCAATGATGTAGTGTGTAGTGGAAAGTATGATTTGATATATTATTAAGGAAGGGAGAATAGCAACTTACTTGGAACGTAGTAAAGGATAGACAAGCATTGGGCCACCAACGCCATGCTTCAAAATATTCTTGAAAACAACCCGATCAAAATCAGCTATGTCTCTTTTGGATACAAATATATTTAGCCATGGGTGTGGGGCATCCCATATGCCACTCGCTTTGGCCTCTTCTTCTGCACGCTTGACACGTAGTAGAAATTCCATGTAGCTCACGTCCACCTCGAACCTCAAATCCTTGCAGAAACTCAGCTGTCCAAGCAACCGCTCCACTCTCTATAACGTTAAACAATATTATTGTCCACGTCGAAAATTCAATTATAAAAAACAAAGATATATATTGGGTGGAGTGAGGGACCAGTGAACGTCGTCTATAGAAATCTGGATGATGAACTAAAGGACATGTAACATTACTGTTTTATCCTTGAATAGAATTTGTCATTGACGACGGTGGGAAAGTACAGTGTCAATCTCGTAATAACAACCGGATTCTGTGACCACTTACACACGTTGCTGGTGTCAGAAAATTCCATGGAAGATCCGTTTGGTCACTTTTCAAGAACTTCTATTTTTTCTGGAGGTGGCGCCGCCGTGGCTCGGCGTCGGCCTCCTCCACCACCAGTTTCTACTACGTGTAAACTTTTTGACTTTTTCACTGTGGGTGTGGGAATCCTTTTATTGCTTCCTTGTCAACATCAAACTATGGACCCCTGCCCTTTAGCATCTAGGTCAAAACAACCCCCCAGTTACCTTACCTAATTGGCCACAAAATCCTACGTCTTTTTCTTCTTTAGGCAATCCTATTTAGCCCTTGTTTGAGATAAAATTTCAAATTAAAGTCAACAATTAATTTTAATCTTATATTATATAACTTTTCAATCACACATTTAGCTCATATTCGGTACACATTCTTTCAAAACTCATTTTCAACCACACATTCTTTTAATAAAATAATATTTTACATCACATCAATAACTTTTCTTTTCTTTACTTTTTAACCACATATTTCCCATCATATCACCATTTAAAATACATTATTTTCTCAATAATATCCATCAAACACACCCTTAATCAATTTTTATCAAAATATACTAAAACTTTGATTTAAATCTCGAGATTTTTATTGTTATGAAAAAGGTGAGACGAGTTTTTACTTCGATTTTCCATTAAATATTTCTCCATTGTAGTCTAAAAAATATGCATTCGAGTTCGACCATTTTCATGGTAGCATATAAAAAAAGAGATACAAATACAATTATTTTCCAACCAGTAAAGTAAAATTCTCCCTTTGACTTTTACTAACAACAATAATCACTTGTAACTTAAAATAATTGACTTACCATGCCAACCGCGGAGCGGCGATCGTCTTTTCTATGATGCAATGCCACCTCAAGGCAGTAAAGTACCGGGCCGGCAGTCCGAGGGATACAGGTTGGGTCAAATGGACGGTTCGCGTCCAGCGGCACGGACGGCCACCCATTTACAGAGTCATCACTGTTCACAAACACAAATCCTTCAACGTAGTCGAACGAGTCACCCTCCGCCTGAGTCACAAGTAACTCAGCATCTCGACTGAACTCGCTGAACTCACTGTATACCACCCTTGTCCACCTCACCTAATCACCATAATGTGTAAAACCCAGATTATAAACAATAATTAAACTTATATAAATTAAATATATACGTAAGCATCTTCAACTAACCAAATTCGGGGCGGGTTGAAGCAACACCCGAGCCCGAGTAATGATGCCAAATTGGCCTAGCCCGCCAAGAACGCTAAAGAAAAGTTCTGAATTTTGAGTACGGGAACAAACGGTGACGTCGCCTTTTCCGGTGACCACCTCTAATTCCGTTACATTTTCCGTTTGTGGACCGTAGATGAATGTCTGGCCACTAACGCCGGCGTTGGACAGCGTCCCGCCCACCGTCAAACCAAGATAATCCGTCCACGACCTTGGGGCAAGGCCGTGACTCAAAACGCAGCGTTTCAACACCTCCTCCCATAAAGCCCCGCCGCTGACGTCAGCATATGTCCCGGTGGGGGCCACCTCAATTTTGGACTCCATAGATTTCATGTCGACGACGAAGCCACGGTGGGCCATGGCCTGCCCGTTGACGGAGTGACCGTTGCCCCTGGCGGCGACGGTCAGATGCTGCAACCGTGACGCTATCCTTATCACCTTGGCTACGTCCTCCTTATCGGCAGGCTTAATTACAGCCAACGGCTTCGAAGATTGCATGCCGCCGAAGTCTTTACCGGCGGAGCCATTAAACCCATATTCCACGGTTCCCTGTAATTCCATCCCCTTGAAGAGGACCAAAATATCATCTTCTTCTTTGGCTTCCAATTCTTGTATCGAATCCAGGTCGTTTTCGTGAACAAATCGCTCTATGAAGGCTATCATCGTCGTTGGTGACATGGGGTTAGAGAAGTAGACTTCTCTGTAAGTATTATGTATCTATAGGTTAGGAAAAAACAGATAAGTATCTTTTTATAGGGGCAATCTGAAGATGTATTAATGGTGGAAATCTTTGCAGATTAGTAGGCTTAAATAGTGGAGTGGTGGGAGGAAAATTGGGTGAAGAATTAAATTTGTCCTAAGAGGGAAAAACCTTTCAATATCCTGTTGACGCTGTGATCCTATCCCCTGCATCTGTCTGCCACTTCCACATATATTATTTCTCGTTTTGGGAAGCTGCTTTACTCTGTACTCGCCCTCACTATATCTTATTCTACACTTTAGGTTTAATTTCACCTAGATCCCAAACTTTTGAAAATTGTGCATTCAGGGATCCCTTTTTGATGAAAAACGTCATATTAAACATTAAAAGGTCAAATTTACCCTTAATTTTATTTAAATCAAATGAATAAGATAAAATAAAATAACGAAAATGTATTCTAATCATCTTCTTCACTCCCTAGTCCCTACTCACCACCATCATCTTCTTCCCAATCTTATCCTAGTCATTTCCCTCAACATTCTCTCTCTCCTTGCCCATTCCCATTCTTAAGAAGCTTTACATTCCTAAGTCCACAAATAAATTTTCAGTCTATGTTGTTGGGAATATAGGGTGTCATTCCACTTGACATCTAACTATGATGCAATTACTGGCTACTTCTGGGCCTAAGAAATCAAGCTGGCTAAGTCCTTCGTCCAATTGAAACTTCAAGAGTTTAATCTAGAATTAATCTCTTAACTCAGGATGGATGACTTTGAGGAGATTGACTCTGTCGACTTCAATTCCTTTGAACCCATCCAGGATCTGGAAGAGAATGGTGTCGAGGCAACATTTGAAGCTCAACTCGTCATTGGTGTCTTGAATAAAATGCACTAAAGTTGGCTCTTCCTTCATGCTTATCATGAAAATTGGGGTCTTGCTTGTTTTATTTGAAATCTTGGCCTAAGTAGCTTGAACAAGTCCTTCCTTGCTCTCCTTTGTTTTTAAACTTGTTATTGATCCATCTGGGACATATGAAAAAATCCTTACCTGCCAGCTCTCCAAGATACTTGTCATCCACCCTCTTAAAGAGGCAACCTTCACGCCTCCCCAGCATGTTACAAATACTGGCATACCTTGAAAGTGTCTGCTCTTGCTCATGAGGAGAGAATCGGTTTTTCCTTCACGGCGGGTCAATAGGTGATTCAATCGCCTGGTGGGACTAACGTAGCATGTACTGGTTTAGCGACGAGCCTTCAGCTCTTCTTCAATCCCAACCTCTCGAGGAGGCTAAAATGCATGTCTGTAGTACATCAAGAACTACCTCATATCATTGTTGACATCATAAACATGTAATATGTTGATAGCCATGTTGGCAACCACATTCGTCTCCACTGAGACAATAGGATTTTCATTCTCTCCCTTCTTCGGGTTCTATCGTTGTTGACCTCTTTCTTTGATTGACATGGAAAATATTTCCTAGAAAAGAAAATGTTTTCCTTGTTTCGAGGAAAATAAAAATTTACTCCCCCAAAGAAAATGTTTTTCCTTAAAAATAAGGAAAATAGGCATATTTTCAAAAGTTTGAAAATATTTTCAATGGACAAAAATAACAATCAAACACTCCAAAGTAGGAATTTGGATGAAAAACTGACATTTTCCATGGAAAATAAATACAAACAAACAAACCATTAACTTTCTTGGCATTTTATGTTTCTTAAGTGTATTCTTCTTGTGGTTGTGGTAAGTTCTACCATTGACGGTGTCAAACTGTTGACCTAGAAAAATAGAAATTATTTTTAAAGTAATCGATCAATTTTTTGCCGAATTTTAGCAGGATTTTCACTCTTTTCATGAAGCCCCTGTTTGGTATAGATTAAAATCAGATTTTTTTAGTAGATTTTGATAAAAGATTTTGATAAAAATTGATGAAATGTGTGGTTGAAAAGTTGTAGGTCTCATGAAATATGTTGTTAATTAATTGTTGATATTAACTTGAGATTTTAATTAAATTTTAATCCAAACCAAACATGGGAGAAATTATGAGTGTGCTTACAAGCAAAATTTTGTAATAAGAGTTAGATAGAGACTTCGACGTTACTGATAAGTATATTTTATACACTTATTTGAGACCAAAAATATCAATATTTGATAATTTTTTTAGATAAAATATATCCTAAACTGTTGTATTTTATATTATATAGGTAAAATTCAATGGTTGAACGAGAAATTGGAAGAAACAAAAAAAATCAAGAAAAAATGGCTAAATCTAAAGTTTTGAGTACCAAATTGTAAATATTCAATAGTTGATTCGGACCACAAGACTATAGTTTGAAGATTTCTAGGAGACAGTTTGATGGAATTAAAACTCAAAAAATTAGAATATGATCAAAATATTATCAAAATCAATTTTCAATTGCACAAGTTATATTCCAAAATTTTAGTCGAAAATTGAGACCCATTTTTGACATAGTAAACGTTCGAATTAGAAAAAAATCTATTTCTAGAAAAGCCGTATCTCTTTGAGTTAATTTTCCAACACACTTTGAATTGCCTCAATCAGATATCAAAAAAGAAAATTATGGACAAAATACTGACTATTGGGCAGAGAAAAAATCCATGCGCGAATGCAACTTTTTTTATTCAATTGAAACTCTTTAAAAACCAATTTGGACTTGATTTTCAACCAATTTCTACTTCTAAAAATACTTAATAGCAGTATGCATATTAGAGATCTCTCATATACATCTTCAATATTCATCAATTATTAGGAAAATTCATAATGTTTTTGTGAGAGAATTAAAGGGGATTAGCAATAATTCAATCAAGTGAAGATTCAAACTTGATTTTTGGACAAAAAAGAGAAGGTGCAAGTGGAGATTCATAGAGAAACCATTGAAGAGATTCAATATTTCAAGATTCATTTTCATATTCTCAATTTATAAAAACTACGGGTCATATATGTCATTTCACTTAAATATGATATCTTATAATTTCGATATGTTAGCCTAATTTTATACATTGATAGGATGAGATGAACATTTTTTATGATATTTTTAGTTTTTAATTAATTATTTTGACTTTAATTTGATTTGATTTGTGGATATTTATTATCATATTTATTGTTCTTTTCAATTGTTTAATCACTAATTGAATTGTTAGTGAATTTTATTGTTATCAACATATACAATAGATTTAAGCACAATATAATAAACATTGTAAGATTCAATAGATGATAAAGATATATCTCTATATTTTATATGGTTTCAATAGGTGTTCTAACACTTGTTAATACATATATCATGTTTACATTTTTCATCGAGAGATAGAACAGTCACATGAGGGGAATATATTTGATCACTAGCGAGAGAAACTTTTAGTTAAATTAGGAACATTGAATAACATAAATTATTTATTTGCTATTCGATTAAAGTTGTAATTAATTTTAACTCGTTCAAATACATAATCCTCTAGGGTATGACACTCTATTCATCATTATATTACTTGACCACAATTCCATGTACTTGCGGGTTTTCAAAGGAAAAAGTTTTTGCCGTCTTTGCCGGAAACTCTTATTTTTTATAAGTTTAGTTAATTTTAGGTTTAATACGAATTTTACTTTTTTTNAAGGAAAAAGTTTTTGACGTCTTTGTCGGAAACTATTGTTTTTTATAAGTTTAGTTAATTTTAGGTTTAATATGAATTTTACTTTTTTTTTAGTTTAGCTCATTATATTAGAAAATTTTTATGGTGTTTCTTGCTTCCTTTTTTCAGGACATTGTATGCGAAGTTCGATAGTGATACTGTTCAATTTAACCTGGAGATTGAACGAACATTTGGTGTGGAAAATCAGTCTAGCATAGTATATACGATGTTTGGTCAAGCAAACTTCCACCTGATGACTGATGTGATAAATATTTTCCAAAATGCGCTATAATTCTTTGGGTGAGGTATGGAGAATCCCAACTCTCATATATCAAGATTTTTGGATATGTGTGCAACTATCGACTATCCGGAGTGTCCAGTGAAGCAATAAGTTTTTCCTATACACATTGAGAAACTCAGTCAAAGAGTGGTTCGACACTTGTCCACCTCAGAACATCATTACATGGAACCAATTGAGTTAAAATTCCTTCGTAAATATTTCCTGCCGAAAAGGATTGCAAAGATGAGGGACGAGATTACCACATTCTAACCACTGGACTCGGAATGATGTTCAGATGTTTGGGAACGATACAAGGGTTTATTTTGTCATGCCCACAACACAAATTACAGAAATGGCTTCAGGTGCAATACTTCTACATTGGTATGAATTTGATAAACAGGGCTAACGTAGACTCTGAATGAGATGGTTCTATCACAAAAAGAACCGCAGATCAAGTTTACCAAATCATGGAGGATCTGGTATTCACTAGTGCACTTTGGTCTACTGAAAGGACAAGTGGAAAGAAAGCTGCTGGAGTATTCAAAGTTGATTCTTTGACGGCAATTTCAGCACAGTTTGCATAATTGGCAAAGAAAGTGGATCAGACGAACATAACCCAGACAATAGGACCGAAATGCAA